AAATATAACAAACCAAACCTGAGATTTATAAATGTTTAAATATTCAAATGAAAGCATAAATTATATAAACAAATAAAAAAATCCTGGGTCATTAGTTAACAAGTGGATTGAGAACCCTCAATCAAAAGAAAAAAAGTAAATAATTCTTCAAATATAAAATGTCTGTACTCAAAGATAAGATATGATATTGAGATGTATTAAAATAAATCATTTCAAATGATTTTCCGCAAAATATCTAAAGTTGAAATTCTATATGTCAAGGAACTTTTTTTTTACTATGAAGAAATGGTTTAGAAGAGAAATGAATTGAGGGCTAATGATGATCATGCAGCATTCCGGACATTATGCTTCTCTTATTTGACATTCAAATAGATTCGATACCTTGAATAAATGTGTATTTATTTAACTTGCATCTCCACCACAATCCAATGACTCTTCACAACTTAATTCACAGATTTTCCACTCCAACTAGAGACAATGGCCATTAATCAAATCTAGGAGTTGTATTAGGAAAAGAAAGGACCTCACTATAAGCAGAATGTTAGGTAATTGTCTGAGGGAGCAAGAAGGAGTCAGGAACGATAGGAATGTGGTGGCAGGGATGTGGTTAGTTATCTGGGAAATGGAAGACAGTGAAGGAGAGAGAGAATTTGTTCTGTATTTTTAAGAATCTAAAAAGAAAATTGCTGGATCAGAGCAAGGTCTTATTTAATCCAGTATTATTTTCCCATTGTGGCCAACCAAATGCCCTTAGGCAGTCTTGGTTGAAGTTAAACATGAATTAAGAGTTCCTGACTAAGAGTTCCACTGGTCCACAGCAATGGTGCATTTGTTCTACAGAAGCAACTGATGATCTCCAGAAAGCTTACCGTAGAAAGAAATAACAATGGCTGATCTCTGTAATCTAGTCGAGTGTATACGAAGACTGGGAGAGAATAATTATGTGAGGTCATAAAGGAAATCCTCATGGATTCTTTCACTCTAAACTGTGAAAAGCGTAATGTGTTTTCACTGCTTCCGAGGGATTTCTTAATACCAATGGAGGGATATAATGCTGCACTGCTATTCCACAACCACAACAGTTCATTATTCCTCATGAGTTCATTTTCTGGACATGAGCCAGTATAGTTCTGCTCATGGAAATTGTAATTGTGGCAGTCAGGATATAAGTAATATCCCCAGAGGCCCTTGGGCCTGCTTTTAATCCCCAGCTCAATTGTTTCCTTCATGAAAGCCTTAGCACATTTTTCGAAAGAAAATTTAGCTAAACTTTCGATAGCATTTGCAGAAATATTCTCTTGCAGTTTGGAAATCAGTTTCCTTGACTGTCTCTTGTAAATGTTTTTGGTATTCCAGTTACGCTCCCACTGGGGTCTCCAGTGTTCCCAGTCTATGACTGCCAACCCAGTGAAATCCTTATCAGGAATATAGTACTTAATATCTTGGTTAGCTTTCTCCAGATGCGTTTGCAAGCTGAAATTCTGAGGGAGGCCACCGTTGATTGGGATTTCCTGTGATGTGTACCAGGGATAATATCCCAGCCTGTTGACATAAAATATGGTCACATTCTGTCCTCTTGCTTTGGCAAATGGACTTCCAATCACATGGAACATTTTTAAGCTGATTGTGATATTATATCGGATGGAGCAATGATCTGTCGGTGCATTCCAGGCAGCTATGAAAGGCATCCGTTGGAACACTGGAAGCTGAGCGGACTTCAGGGCCAAAGCAGAACTCCACATAAATGACATCTGTAACCAGAATGTAGAGCGGACCTGCTAGGAAATAGAAAACAATTTTGAACTGTCAAGGAAAATCAAAATCTTTGACATATAAAAACATCCAGGCCGATCTTTTTATTTTTCAAAGCAGGCATATCAAACTCACGACATCATGTGACGTCACACAACGTATCAGGCCAGTTTTGCCATTGCCGGCAATGGGGTGGGCGCAGCTTCCACGTGACGTGTCCGGCCCGCGGACCAGCAGTTTGACACCCCTGCTCCAAAGGATCAAGTAACATTATGCAGAAGCATGGCAAAGAAAAGTAATGCAAAGAAATTAAGACATGAGAGAAGAAAAGGAAATAAAAGAGAACCAAATCAGCCAAATGTATACAACGCTACCCAATATATTTATCTATTTTTTCCAGCCATTATTATTTTTACAAATAACTCAAGGCAATGAACATATTCAACACAACTTCCTCCTCCTATTTTCCCCATAGCAACAATCCTGTGAGGTGGGTTGGGTTTGGAAAGAGTGACTGGCCCAAGGGCACCCAGCTGGCTTTCATGGGAAAGATGGAACTAGAACTCACAGTTTCCTAGTGTCTTGCCTGGTGCCTTAACACTATACCAAACTGGCTCTCTTGGCTTCTTTCTGTCCTTATCAGCCATCTTGGCTTCAACACCCATCCATACATTGCTTGATACATTATCTTTCCACTTCTTTTTCTGGCAAGAAAACCTCCTGAGTCTTCTTCTCAATTCATTCATTCTTCGTTTGTATACTTGTTCTGCGTTTCAGTGCTGATTCATAATATATAGTACATATTTATACATCACTCACATTTATATTCATTCCACATTCATTCATTCTTGAGCTTATCATTTCTTGTTTTACTACATGTACTTCTTAAATAACACATATCCACTGAATTTGATTTACTTACATGATTTTCCTTACATACCCAACTTTTACTCCCATATAACTAAATAAGTGGGAATATACTTTTATAATTGGACTTCCAGCCTTTTAAATAAACTTTCTGTTACTTTTCTATCAGCATAACAACATTCTAAAAAAGACCCATCTATTTTTCATTTTTAATATTTTTTATGAGCTGCATAATATATATCCTCTTGTTTTTAACCTTTACCTTTGTTTCTTTGCTTGTATTCATTAATTCCAAGAGAAGAAAATATTTGTAGCCCTCAGACTGAACTGTGGATTCTGTGGTGCTCTCTGAGCTTGGTTGTTTTCTGCAGACACTTCATTACAAAACTAGGTAACATAATTAGTGCTAGAAGACAGTGGGATTTGCTCTCATTTTATATACTGGTGGCTTGCCTGTCAGTGTTGGTGGGAGAGGTCTTGGTGGTTCCTTGAATAGGCTGTTCTTTACTGTTTAGCTTTTTTGTCTGAGTTGGTAATTCCTTCTTGACTGTTGATCTAGTATTAATCTTGGTGTTAATCTCTGTTAATCTCATCAGGTTTTGATTGCTGGTGAGGAATTTTTGCTGGTGAGAAATCTTTTTGTTTCCTTTTTGGTCTATTGATTGTCTCTTTTGAATGGTATGTATATATCCTGTTTATCTCTGTGTATCTGTTGATGGTCGATTTGTCTCAGTCCAGACTTCTAGGAATTTTCTAGTGTTTTGGGATTTGTCTTGGTCTAGGATGGTCACAGTTTCCCAGTTGAAATTATGGTTAAGTTTGTCCATGTATTAATCCCAAATTAAAGAATTTTCATCGTATCTTCTGACTGCTAGTTGGTATTCATGGATGTGCTCTGCTAATATTCTACCTATTTGTCCTACATAGCACTATTACATTCTTATGCTAAGATGACTCCTATTTTTTCTTCTGGGCTGCTAGGTCTTTTGGGATGTTTTGGAGAGGTTTAGTCAGTATGTGTGCTATGGAGATGCCATGTGGTTGTAATAGTCTGCTGGTGGTTTCTGAGATGTTTTTGATGTATGGAAACATTATAAAAGTTTTTCTGTTAAGGTTGCCAGACCACTTTGTTGGAAATTATGTTTTTATCATCTACATAGATGTCTATGCAAAATCTTCCAACAAAATGGATACCCATGCAACTTTATCAAAAAGGACTGACCAGGAACCTAACATAGCACAACAAACACAAAAATATTACTACAAATAATTTTAACTAAACAGTGGTTCAGAATAAGTAATTTATATATTTGTACACTATAACACTATAGTGCCTATAGTGCCTAACCCCACCTCACTAGATGACCAAGTGTTAGTGGTTCCCGTATCTCTTTGCTGTCATCTTATGGAATTTGGGACACCTGTTCTACAAATAGGAAGCCTGAGTTTCTTATTCTGCGTGTGAATAAAATCATGTTGCATAAGAGATCAGTGGATATTACAAGATCATTGGTCATGGTCCACAAATATATAACCATGATTTTAAGGTTGTGATCAAAAACATCTCATTCCAAAGAAATACTATGCTTTTTATATTTAACTTAACTGAATTTAATTTAACTCAGTAGAGTTGTAGATCTTCCCCTTTGCCACTGTCAGTCATTGGGATTCTATTTCAAGCACCTTTAAAATAAAACAAAGCTATTTAAAGAAAAGTTCAGAGTGTGGTTTTGTGTTAATTTAGGTGTATACCAAACACTGGCTGGAATGCCGTTGTTTAAAAACATAGTTTAAAAATATATGGCTTTTCAACAGTAGATTTTAAAATAGAAAACAATCATTTTTGGAATGGCTACTTATCTCTGTTGAGGATCTACAGTATACTATTATATCAAGAGGAGTAGAACAAGCCTTGACATCAAGAGGATTAATCCATATATATGTATATAACAGCATTGAAAAAATGTCTTATGACCGTTTTTCACACTTATGGCCTTTGCAAAATCCCCATGGTCACATGATCAAAATTCTAATGCTTAGGAACTGGTTCATATTTATGATGAACGCAGTGTCCTGGGGTCATGTGATCACCTTCTGACAAGCAAATCCAATGGAAAGCCAGATTTACTTAACAACCGTGTTACTAACTTAGCAATTGCAACAATTCATTTAATAGCAATGAAAGAATGTATATAACATTTGTAAAAACAGATGGTATGTGTTAATGGACAATTGTCATATATAAACTTTGGTCTTAGAGATTGTAGAACTGTAGCCAATAGAAAGTAGTTCCTATATCCATGAAAGGAAAAAAGAAGTTGTACTGCTGCTATATATCAGGAATGCTTAATCAAAAGCTTCATGTGCTCCTGTGGCCTGTGAAACCCTTAGGGTAATCTTCAAAACCTCTGCAAATATTTGAAGATGTAATGGAGTTTACTGGCAAAGATTCAGGAAGTGGTTATCTAAAGAACCTACAAACGTTTCCATTATCAGTAGAAAATTCCAGCTCTTATTACAAGACAATAGAAAAGTCTCACCCTGGTACATTAGGGAATAATTTGGTTATAAGTGACAAATAGTTCAGTTGCTGAAGTTCTTATAAACTTTTATTGTCATTTCAATAAATCCTGCTAAAGAATATTTTGTAAGTCTCATGCTTGGATAGAAATACTTTCAGTTTTTCTATCAAAGAACCAAACAGTATTAAATTGTCATATTTACATGTGACAAATCCATTAACTGTGTAGAGCAGGAGTCTTCAATCTTGGCCCTTTTATGACTTGTGGATTTTAACTCCCAGAATTTGTCAGCCAGCCAGGGCTGGCTAAGGAATTCTGGAAGTTGAAGTCCACAAGAATAAAAGGGCTAAGTTTGAAGACCCCTGATGTAGAGAATAGTCATAGTAAATGCAGTAAACTAAATTACAATTTAGTCAGATGCATTATTTTATTTGATCCCATACATTTCATTTGCATAATAGTGTCTTCTTTCACAAGTATAAGGAGTCCTCAATTTACAATCATTTAATGAGTAACCATGACTGTTCAAAGTTACAATAGCACTTAAAAATGTGACTTATGTATGGTCCTCGCTCTTACAACCTTCTCAGCATCCCCAGGGTAACATGATAAAAATCCAGGTGCTTGGCAACTGACATGTATTTATGACAATTGCAGCATGCCAGGGTCATGTGAGTGCCATTTGCAACCTTCCCAGCTGGTTTCCAACAAGTAGTCAGTGGGCAAAGCCAGATTCACTTAATAACTGCAAGTAATAAACTTAACAACCATGACAAAAAGACATAAATTTGAGCACAACTCACTTAATAACCACTTTGCTTAGCAACAGAAATTCCAAACTATGGTTATAAGTTAAGGACTATCTGTGTGACAGGTGACATAATAACCAAAGATCAAATGCAGTTCTCAGTTTCCTCCCTCTATAGATTTTATATCAAAGCTGTTAAAGGTCTATTACAAACAGAAAATGTTGACAATTTAAATTTGAATGTGTGATGTAAATTATTCTGAATAATTGACATCTTCAGGATTCAGACTTGAAATATAGGCAATTATTGAAATCTAGGCACACATAAAGAAACTGCATAAACAAGCATGAGCTTTTTTAATTTCCTTCTAAATATGCCACGTTTTTTTTTCTATTCAGCTTCTTATTTTTAGTAGGCAGGAGTTTGCAAAACTGACCTAAAAGCTGGCAACATCTTTCCATTATTCCCAAATTCAATTAGTGCAAGGTTTTCAAGATGTTCTTCACATCAGCGATGTTCTTCACATCAGTTTTGTCATAGTGGCATTTGATGATTAGCACATTAAAGTCATTGCAGCAGTAAAGCTAAAGGCATCTTTGCACATTTTCACTGCTGAAAAATGTTCAGGAGCTGTCAAACTGGAATGGCCACATTTGTCTTAGCCAGAACAAGTGATGCTGATATAGCCCACAGGAAAGCGGAATAGGGAAAGTTTTTTTAAAAAAAAGTTTTTTTAAAAAAACCTAGCAGAAATCTATTGGAAGAAAAGTTCTAATCATTTCAACATGTGCATGAATTGTATGTCTAAAAATGTTGAGGATTAAAAGACTGCTCATCTTAATCTGGATAAAGTCAGAAATT